ACATGGATATATATCCAGATAATTACGTAGACATCACATTATGGGTGACAGTATTTTTGATCACCAGGCTATTTTCAGCGTTTATTTCACATTATTATTTTTCAATAAAATATAGGTGATGCTCTAGATCGATGACAACCTCGCGCTCACATTCTTTAATGCCCTCACTTTCACTCTGTAGCGTCGTCACTATTAATAAGATCAATTAATAAAGGATCGTTGCCGTGGATAAGAACCAAAGTACAGTGTACAAAAACCAAATATTAAATATAGATTACAATATTAACGTACGAAACAACATTTTTAAAATGAATGTGTAGTTTTTCAACAGATACACGCATCCCATTCATTAACTACTTTGACCATACACTGATTGCTTTGATCATGCATTAATCTGTTTGATCTCTGAAAAGAAAGTATGTATTCAATATAGATCGTGTAGAAGCACCCAAGAAGAGATAATGAAAAATCACTATTCGAAAAATATTGATGATCAAAAGTACTTTGTCTTCTCATACCATCGTATAACAACAGACTTACCTTATTTTTCATTGTCGTCTCTCACTAGTAAGATACTATGTAATCGATAACCAATTCTTATCTATATATTATATAGTTCTTCTTTCCTTTCGTACACATGATTTATTCTTACTGAATAAAAGATATTTACTGGTGTAATATTATGGATTAATTATGATGCAAGTGCCGGTGACGAGAAGTCTCTCACCCCCATCCTATTTTTGATGATAAACTAAAAATTTTAGTAGAGCTTTATACTTTTTTAAGGTTAAAGTAATTTATTTTTCCTCAAGAAAAATCTTTATCTTTCGTCATATTAACTTTATCCGAAATACTTGTCAGTGCCGACTACATCAGCTCTTATTAGAAGAGTATTTTCTCAAAGCGACTTTACATTGCGTCCATAGCACGTATGGCTAACCTCAAAAAATGTATGTTTGAAACTTGATAAAATAAAAAATAATAAAAACAACATTTTGATGCATGACTCTTACAATATCTCGGTCTCAAAATTGATCCGTCATTTCTGAAACTACTAACTAAATTTTCTCTAATGAGGTCTTAAAAAACTCACTCTTACGTGTATTCGTACTTCAGAAAATCCTTACTTGCCTAGTTCTGCATTATGCATTAATTAAGAATTTCAAAACTTGTCTGTTAGCCAACGAGAGAAATATCTATAAGAAAACGTTTGCTATGTCCAAAAATTTGTTACTTTAAAGTATAACCATTATTTAAATCGACTAATCTATTCTATTTTAATAGATTATTGAAAGGTTTACAATTTGCATTTCTTTGTCGAATGGGCTATAAAGATGTTGTTGAACGAGCAAGTGCATTATTTAAATCAATACCTATTGAATATTTTAATGGTACTAATGTTGATATCAAGTAATGACATAAAATGTGAAAAAAAACTTCTTTTTTTGTTAAATTTTGTTTTTAGTATTGGTGCAGATTTCTTATCAACAGTTTATATCTGTCATTTAAAGAATGATGATAATGAAACTGATTGGAATATGATGTATAATTATTACAAAACTGCGATAGCACCACAAGAACAAACACGTGCTTTAGTTGCCATTAGTTCAACTAACAATAAAGAGCGATTAAATCGGTAAAAACTGTTAGTACATTCTCGGTGGAATTAAAATGTGAAACACGATGTAGTTGTTGCTGCTAATTACAGGAAAATTGTTTTATTCCATCTATTTTGAGACATATTTCTTTGCTGTCCTTTTACTTGTTTTCCCAGATATGTAATAAGAAAGTAGTTCATATATATTCTCACAAGACGTTATTCATATATGGTCTGTGACTAGAAATGTGCGGAACTAGTTTTAATTCCGATCTCGGTGATCGAGATCGGAGACATCTCGAAGAGAAATCGCTGAGACCGGGGCCAAGCCTACGAGAAAACAAGTTGTTCCCAATCAAAACTCAAATAAATCATCAATCAAAGCATAATTCAAGAGAGATGAGTCGGAAAAATGTCAGTCGCCCACTGAATAAATACAAAACCAAGTATTGAAGTTTTTTTATATGAAAAACGAATAAATTCTAAAATAGTTTTGTCTAGATTAGAATCAAGATTGAGACCGATACTATGACCGGAACGGGAAGCAAAAAAATAATCTTGCATATCTCTATCTTTGATCCTTTATCAGCGTCTGACGCGGCCTATGGCAAAAGGAACGTAGTGTGTTGCTAAGACGTTCGTCAAAGTTACACATCGTTCGGTCCAAACTTTTTCGACTCAGTCAACTCAGAGGGCTATAGTCAAGGTCTGTGTGTGGAGGAAGAAGAGGAACTGAGGTTCAAGTTTGTGTCCCTATACTTCTACATTCGTTTTCGATCGTGTTTCACAAAAATATTAGAAGAAGCATGTTTTTATTTAGGAATAATTGTTTTTTGTTTAAATAGATTACTTAATGAAGGTTTAGAAAGTGGGCCGAAAAAAATAAAACGACAAGATTTTTTTGCTTTGCTTGCTTATATGAGTCGTCATCCAACTGGACGGCAAGTAGCATGGACATTTTATAAAAATAATTTTCAAAAACTTGTTAATATGTAAGTAGTTTTAAAAAGACGTATATATATATATGAGAAAAGCTGTTTTTCTTCTCTAGTTTTACTCTTGAAAATCGTCGATTAGGTACAACTATTAATGCAATTGCACGTTCATTTCAAAATGAATCGTATCTCGAAGAAGTAGAATATTCAATTTGAAAAAAAAACTTTCTTCAATTTTTATTTATCGTTTTAGATGAATCAATTATTTTCAGATTATCCGAATGCAGGTGCTGGAGCATCAGCACGTAAACAAGCCATTGATCAAGTAAACATGAATATTGAATGGGTCAGATCAAGAGAACAAAGTCTGCTTCATGCACTTGAAACACTATATGGATCATAATTATTTAACTGTTTTCTATATCATTAGTTTTTATACAGTTTTTATGCGGTGCTGTTTTTCATGTATTTAACATAATAGAGTACAATAAACATACAATGATACAGCTTTGTTTTTAATTTTGAATGAAGAAATTTTTTTCTTTTGATTGAATAATATTTTAATAACAACACACCTTTCTTTGGCGAGAATATTCGGGACGAGGAGGGTTTTGAGCACCAGAAAAGGAGTGAAATGAGCACCAGATCGATGAAGTGTGTTTTGAGCACCAAAAAAAGAGTGAAATGAGCACCAAATTTATCGATATGTGAANGAATATGGATATGAGAAGTGCCCTTAGGCCTTTATAAGGGGTGGGGGTAGAGAAAACCGGTTTTCCGGGCTAAACATTTTTTTCATCAAATCGATTTTTTGATCGATCCAGTTTGTAGAGCATATTGAATTGTCTACGAAAACATTTTTTTTTCTGTTTCAAATCGAGTTTTGAAGGCCATAAAACCATTACAATTTAGTTGCATGTTACGAACTACTTGCCTATAGTGAGACGAGAGTAGTGAAATTTTTAAAAGAAATATAGACATAAATAACTCTATTTTCTATAAAAGAACTTACATATAAAATAAACGAAGACATCTGTCGTGCTAAAATTTAAAGTATGTCGACTCTTGATGTGACAAAAGGCGCATTCCGAAAACTAGAGCCCGAACAGATACTATTCTTTTTTTCTTTTTATTTCGAAAAGAGCAGTTACACAAAAATAAAAAACAAAACTAAATATTGTTATACAACAATAAGAACCATAGTAAATTTCAATTTACGTATAAAAAAAACCTTTGATTCAAGAAATTCATAGTTTTTTCCACCACCAATCGGGTGAACCGTAATAGTAATAGATCATAGAGAATATTAGCCATTGGTCATAATCTAAACTGTAATACATACAAAAACAAGAATTTATAAAAACTTCTATCACTAGTTTTCATCATTATCTATTCATGGAAATGATATTCAATGAAAAAATGCTGAAAACATAAGTTTTTCGAACACCAACTACATGTTATAAATCCTTGCTCAAGACATTTATCTGTTTGACAAGTTTGATAAGTTGTTAAATTTGAAAAGCAAACGTCGTTCACATTTTTTAATGGAAAAGGATTATTTTTTTTGAATAACCGTTAGCGTACCATGAATATAAAATCATACTTTTAAATACAGGTGCGGATAGTTGATTATGTATTATTGATATTAATTTAATTATATTATTTCTCTCATATAAATTTATATTTGATTCATCTAAAGCTACACGATTAGATAGTTTTTGGCTAAATTTTTCATTTGGCGGTGAAAGTATTTATCAAGTGGTTGTATATCAGATGTTGTTTTTGGTGGTATTTGAATGCGGTGAACCACTTTTCCAATTGATTTTAAATCAGTGTATATGTCATCATTATTTTGACCAGACCATGAATCTAATAAGAGTAAAACTTTTTCTCCAATTGATGGTACTAAAACATTGTCCCTCCAATACTTCACCAACGAACTCGTCAGTTTACCTGACGCAGAACATGTAATAACATTTTTTGGTTTGAAATAAGTGACGTTTTTCAATGTCACCCATACGACCATTTGGTTCTTGAAGGCACAAGTACATCGGTCTGATTAGTTCTCCATTTAAACTAATTGTAGGTTGAATTGTATATGAATGGGTAGTTGTATTTTTTGATGCAACGCACCCAAGAGTTTTCTTCTCACCTTGAAATGATAATGTACGTGTTGAGTGTAATTCTTTTTCAATATCTACCTGATTCGTATTTAAAATCTCTTTTCTCGAATATTCCTTTGATAATCGATGAATTTTTTTTTTTAAATCTATTTCTGATTTCTGTATATCACCAAAATTAATTATTTCTTTTTTTGTCACTATATTAGACACTTTACGAGAACATATCCCATGACGATTTTTAAATTTTAGAAGCCACTATTCTGAACCTGTAAAGTCATCCAGGTTCACCTCTCGTGCAGCTTGTAAAGCCCATCTTTGGATGTCGATGTCATGAATCGGTAGATATTATTCACGAGCTTTTAAAAACTTTTGATGGACAGCTTTATCAATATCTAGAGTTTTTTGTCGTTCTGTTCCTTGTTGAGCTACATATTGACGAAATCGAGAAATATAAGCTTGATCTGGAATGGATCGATATCGATGTTTAATAGTTTTCCATGATCGGCGTCGTTTACCAGATGAATCTTTTGCATCAGCAAAATCAATTACTTCCTTCATAAATTCAATAGAATAATTATTTAACTGATAATTTTCTTTTGTATCTTCTTCATTATTCTATTCATCATTAGAACCGTTGCCATCACTATCGCAACCAACAATATCAGTATCATAATAATAATCATTCAGATCGTTCACCAAATCCAATGTTACTTCAGCATCATAATGAAATTGATCACAGTTAGTAAGTGAGTTAATGATTTCAGCTAAACGTTGCACGATCAAACGTTCTTTTTGAGAGATTTTCGTTATCTTTAAAGTCAAATCAACATCAAATAGTTCTGATAAACACCGTACAATATTAGCAGCGCTCATCACAATCGAAGAAAGATATCTCTGGAGAAGAGGAACGATTTATATTAACAGACGTGGATATCAGCTACTGCAAGTGACTATTATTATATCTTTGCATACAAATCTGAATTCTAGGTATATGTTTAAATAATAGATTATTAAGATTATTCATTTAATTATCAAGAGTAAATTCCCGGGTAAAAACCAATTTGAAATAAAACTGTAAGCTATTATCTTATTATTTTGTAATGTTACTATGTATCTGTTACATGAATTGTAATGATTTTATGGCCTTCAAAACTCGATTTGAAACAGAAAAAAAATGCTTTCGTAGACAATTTAATATGCTCTACAAATTGGATTGATCAAAAAATCGATTTGATGAAAAAAATGTTTAGCCCGGAAAACCGGTTTTCTCTACCCCCACCCCTTATAAAGGCCTAAGGGCACTTCTCATATCCATATTCGGAATCAGCATAGTCGATAACCTAGAACCCAGTAGGTTTCATCCAAAAAACGATTTGACAGTCGGGAAGGTTCCCTCGTAAGCAAAATAACTTTGTCACTTTCTACATAATTTTATGTTTGACAAAAGAATCATGTTCTCCTAAAACTTTCTAATCGTTTCTTCAAGTAAATTTTGTTTTAAGTCATTTCTGATTAGCTAACAATAGCAATTTCTCAAATAAGTCTCTGAGATGCTAACTATTGTTCATACATTTCTCAAGTCAAGTATTCAGAAAAAATATTAGATACTGGGATTTCTTGACGAAGCTGCTGGTGTTACAAAGATTTCAGTCACACTTATAACTATTCTACAGGATGCGTAAAAATGTTTTTCCAGAGGGGTAACGCCGTGATTTTAAATAGAATCAATAGCAAATTGTATACCAAATGAAAGCACGTCGAAAATGGGATTTACTAGTATTAAATGATAAGGATTCTACGAATTGTTTTATATCAAACATAACAAATCTGTAAAGATTTCTGCAGTATAATTGTGGTAACCTATCGATAGTGTGTCATTTGATAAGAAAGATGTTTTTTTCACAAAAATTAATAGAAGTATCGTTGTGTTAATTATTCAGTATGATCCAGTTCACAAGATATATTATTCTTTTTCGTTCTATTGTCGTTTTATCTTCTTCTTTTGAATATGAATGATGGCATAACGCCAGAGCAATACAAACGATAAAGTAGTATTTATTTTTAGTTTTTGCAGGACACTTTTTCGTTCTGCAGTCACGTTTCATTTCAGTTATTGAACACTGCTTTTTTCACTTCTATTCCGTATTAGAGCGAGACTTTTAAGCACGTGCGGAACACTATATAAGACCGTTTCTCAGTTTATAAATATTCATAAACAAAAACAATTGATCCTTTTCGTTAAGCAATTTAACTTAATTGGCTGAAAATTGGCTCGTACATATGACATAGAACAGCAAAAACTTATCGCCAGAATCAAATGTATTGCTTTTCGTGAAGCTCGAGATGCCGGTAGAACATTTATTAATCGGCAATGGATTGCAAACAATATTCATCGTCCTACGCGATTCATTACATAATGGTGGGAAAAGTCATATGATGATTGTTTTGCAGATTACTCCGAATGTGGTCGTAAACTTAAACTATCAAGTGCAAGTGGCAAACAAAGAAAAAGTATTTATGTTATGGTGAAAAAAATTGCAAAAAAAATACAAGGAATATGTTTTTCCAAAAACAGTTGCCAATTATCGTCATAGAGAAAGAATAAAGTCGTTTCATGTTATTCAAAGACCGTTAAAAACAGACAGTCATATCTCAGACTGGTGATGGTTTTGTAATTGGTTAAAAGATTGAAATCAAGAGGACTTTCTCCATCTTGCACCATCGGATGAATTTATGTTTGGACTATTCGCAAACCAATTTATTAGAATGATCGAGTTTGGGCAAAAAGTGTTGAAGATATTGAAGATGATGAAAGATATCGCGGAATGGTTAAAAACCAAATGTGCATCGGTATTTTTATCATTTTCACTGCAAAAACGTTGCATTGGGAACTTAAAGATAAAGGTGAATCTTGAACCGGTCAATATTTTCGTGATACTATTTTAATGCAACACGTATTTCCATTCCTCAAAGATGAAGAAGATGTAAACGATGTGGATGATGTCATATTTGTTCATGACAAGACACCATGTCTGCGTGCAAATATGACTCAACATTTACTTCAAAACAACAATATCAATTTTTGGGAAAACGACACCTGGCCTGGAAATTCACCTGATCTGAATACAGCTGAACACATTGGAGCAATAATTAAAAATGAAGTAGAGCAAAAAATGTTATCAGAAACGGAAGATAGCCGTTATGAGAAAGAAATATAAAAAAACGCCTGTCATATGTTTTGATAAAGATAGAATCAAACACTGAGTTATTTGAAACTCTTCTGTTTCTATCGGTCATGTCTTCGCACAGTAAAAAATGCTAATGAACGTCATACTGATTATTGATTTTATTCATCATATCTGAAAAAATAAATCTACTTGACGTCATACATCATTTTGAATCAGATGTAGTGCAAACTGCTTCATGAAAGAAATCTTTTCGGAGGTCACTCATTTCGGTACATGACATTTCGTCCCCTTACTATCCATTCCAATTACAATTTGTCCTAATTACAATTCGTTCCAATCATATTTCGTCCCATTTTCATTTGAACTTATGATTTTACTAAGATCCATCTTTATAGTTATTCAAAAACAGGTATTGGGTGTGGGTGTGGATATAGTTAAAGAAGAGACAAAACACACACCCATACCCACACCATTCGGTTGTTCGCCTGTACGAAGTCGTTCAATGTCGCTCTCGAATCCAGATTGTTCACGTAAAATACATATAGTAAGTTTAGTAATAGAAGGATGTTTGCTGGAGACACGATAATAGGTGTGGGTGTGGATGTGGTTTTTTATCTCTTCTTTAACCACATCTACACCCACACCCTATCCGTTAATAGAGTTCTCTTATTAATGAATTTTGAAATGGCTACTGCACAGTGTTTTTCTGACTTCGATCATGTGATTGGTCAAAACATAATTCTTCCGATTTATAGCAACAAAAATAAGCCATAATTTCAGTATAATCTGATTATCTTTTGCAGAAAAGTGTTCCATATTCAATCGTTCAAACGATTAATTGTTTTTTATTAGAAAATATTGATTTATCCGTTTATCGACGTTGGAAGCTTCGCACTACATTTTGCAGTCGAGTGAAACTCGAATGTCATCTAGCCTTTTTATAAGTTTACAAACTAGATAAAAAAGAAGAACATACTGATCTATTTATTTGCCTATTCTAAGACGAGTTCGAAATATTTTCTCTAATAGATCTAATTATCATGATGATAAAATAACTTACTCAGAATGATAATTATTTTATAACTATAGAATATTCCAAAAAGATGCATACATTTTGGAAAATCAAAAAATTTTACAGTCATGTATCAGAATCTGTTCAGACATATTTGCTTAAACTTCTGAGTATGCAGCATGGTAGAGTCAAGAAACTTCTATCATCTACACATGTGCAGTAGTTCAAATGAAAATCTACTGATGTATTCTGGAACTCGACTGCATGGCTTTTGGTTTTAGAAAATGTTACATTTTCTTGGGATACTCGGTGTTGAAAAATAATTTTGATCGATCATACTCTTCTTAAAATTCAAAAATTTTTCTAGTAAAAATAAACTTCAGCATCATACTGAGAATTTCTTAATATTATATGACTATTAAAGTTATTATCAATCAACTATGATTGTTAAACTATTAGCTCCAAGAAAAAATAAATCTTCCAAACAAATAAAACATTTTTATTTGTCTTCGTTTTATTATATTATAAACAATATATTTTATCCAAAAGTATTGGTTCATCTTATATCTTACAATTACTCTTATCATGTAGTTTTTCGATGCAATTAAATTAGTTTTTAGTTTTATACGTTTATTATTTCATTTGAAAATTCAACACTTGATTATATGTGATACAATAAATAAACAAATAAATAAGCTGAATTTTTTTCTCATCATTAATTAATAAAATAAAAGAAATATAGTTGCCAACTTGATGAATCCATGAGACACAAATAAAAATGAAGTAGCAGTTGAGATTATTGGCATGCATGGTTCATCACTATCAGGAAGAAAAGAATCAAATGTTTCATTGATGAAATTAGGCTTGAGGAAATTATAAATTTGTTCGACAATAGTCGAATTAATGCAAGAGTCACGATTACATCGAAAAATCATTTCAGTCGGCACAGTGTCGCTAGAGGAATAGTTTTGGGTAATATTAAATAAATAATCATCTCTTGAGCGATCATGACATGTTATGTTTCCATTCAGGTTAATGGAAATATCACCCGAAATATCTTCGACTGCGAATTTTCCTTGACAAAGATCACGACAGAAACTATTACTATTACTACTGCAATCGATAGAAGTAGTGCCAGGTTGCGCGTTATAAATTTCAGTTGTATTTTCTTCAATTATGATTCTACTCATTGTAGGTATAAGACGAGCACGATCTAATAGGTGATCAAGAAAGTTGACATCACAATAATTTTCCTTACAAGTATACCGTATAATTGACAATAATGAATAGTCTAATTTAATTATAGTTTCTAAACGACGTACAGGAATATTATTGCATGTTTCCACGCCAAAACGACCTGTAGCAACACGTTCTATGTGATCAATTTCCACAAATACTGAACACTGGGTATTGTTGCGTGAAATAAATTGACATGTGTCGTTTGTAGGTATACTGTCATCAATTGGCATACGAATAAAAGCACATAAATTTGCGCACAAAAGCGATCCAGAAATACTCACTGAAGCCAAAAGAATCAGAAGAAAACATACTCGAGTAAGTTTCATTGTAATAACACTTTTTTTTTAGTTTTTTAATACTCTCTATGAAAAAGGTGCTCTCAAGGTTTTAATAACTTAAGTGATAAGGATTTTTTCTTGCATAGCAACCTAATACACAAGAGGGCTGTGCAAAGGATAGGATAAAAAAAAAACACATATTTAGTTACAGAAATAAAGATTTGTCGCGTCTTTATTGCCTTCATTCATACAACGATCGTAATTTTAAGAAGACCAAATAATTGAGTCTGAATAAGTTTAACTTTCAGAACAAAAGAATTATTGACTTTTTTTTCACTTGTTCAAAATAGAAAAACAGAGTCCCAAGCATGTTTAATATTTTACTATTGTTTCAACTAAAATAATTTCTTTGTAATTTGCATCTTTACTGATTATAATATATTCGATTTTTAAATGCGTTTTCTCGGTACGCAGTAGAACTTGATAATACATTAACTATTAGATAGAGAAAGTCTATCTGTACAAGCCTACATATGTGCCGTTTTGTAGTCAAAAATCATGCGAAAACTTTGTATTGCTTTTATTTCTTGTCACGTGTTAAACTTTCAGTTCTTTGAAATAAATTGGTTAAAGAAATTAAAAAACTTCATTGGTATGATTATTATTTTTCTACACATAATGAATATTATTCAATTTATTGACTCAATAAGACTTCTATTGTGTTGTATTGTTAATTAAAATAGATACTATAAATGATCATCATATTCATTTAAGTGAATATACCGTATTGTGTAGAAAGTTTACTATGATACGAACAAATTATCAATATTAGCTTATTTTCAATTCAACAGCTAGTATAATTCTCAATAGAAGTAATTCATATAATCATGAAAATTTCTCTATAATAATTTATGTCGAAAATAAAATAAAATAATGATTATTACTAAAAGTTCAACATAAAAAATTAAATGAGATTATTCTGAAATACAAACTATCAAAAACTGTAGCATCGTCATTTTACGTAAAATTTAATGTAGTTTTGATCAAAATGTCACATGTATACTATACGCACTAGGCCACTAAGGCTTTACCAATCTGTTCAGCTAAACCAAGTAAATATTCTTCTTGAAGTCGTTTGCCTACTAATTGAATTCCTACAGGTGCTCCATCATAAATATCAGGATCATAATCTTCATGTATCTTCGCATCAAAATCATTCATACTTTTATATTGCATGTTCATGATATCTTTTTCTTTGTCAGCAAATGTCACAGGTATAGTCACCGCTGGCCAATCAAGTAGATTAATCACTGTAGTATAACCATAATATTTGAAATCATCATGTTTAACAGCAGCATGTGGAGCTACAGGCAAAATCCATGCGTCGACGTGGGACTGCTGCCGCCAAAGAGCCAAATACTCTTTTTGATACTTGTACTTATCACTGTGCATTTTCCATAGTGATTCAAGATCGATTGCTGGCAAATTTGATTCAATTGCTTTTTTAATATTTGGAATAATTGGTTCCCCACTTAATTCGATAGCGCGCCTTATAGCTGCTCCTTTATCAGCAGCAAAGATTTTGTTCAATAAATCAACTGCATCTTTATGTTTGTATGGTTGCCATTCGACAACAGTGTGACCAACGTTTCGTAGAGCAGTAATAACTTGTTGAATACCACGGAGAATTGGAGGATGTGGCATTATATTACCATCGAATCCAAAGGTCCTTTCAAAAAAGAGTTAATAGTCTTATTTACAAAAACAAGAAAAAAAACACTTATTAATCTTCTACATCTAGACATGCACTGAATTTGGATTCTTTGGATTTGAATTCGGATTCGACTTTCTGTGCAACCATTTTCAATTAATTAACAAAATGGAGTAGAAGTAAGCCAAAAGAAAAGTATTCAGAGTTGGCTATGGTATGTCTACACACAATAAAATAAATGATCTATAACCTTAATGGATAAACGCACTCGAAAAGAAAGTCAACGATATTCAAGAATATCTTAATCTCAACTCGAACTTATTCGAGCTTTATGATGTTTCCATCACAGTCCATATATCTTAAAAAGCGCTTAGATAGTGACCTAAAAACTCGACACTCTCTAAACTGCTTCTCAATGTCTCAATCACATTTTATTCATAAACAAACTTCTGAATCTGTTCATTGTTAGTATTTTTTTAAACTTTAATTACTATAGAAATATCTTATCATTAACAGGCGTTAAACAAGCTATGCTTTGAAAATATGTGTAAGAATAAAATCAGAATTTCATAAAACTGCTAAATAGAAAATTTGGTTTTTGAAAATTAACTTTGATGTTATAATTATCATTCACTTACCCATCTGCAATTACGACTCCAAAAACTTTCATTCCAGTTTTGCCTTCCAAATATCGTGTCTCTCTCCAAGGTATATCAATCAATTTCGGATCATATTTCCAAGGTTTCTGTTCTAAAATAGCTTGCATAAAATAAACTAAATCACCAGCACAATGTGCTATCGGACCACAAACAGAAGGGATTGATTCTTGTCCGTCTAAAGTTTTCTTTATATTTCCCATTGGTAGTCTTTCATGGCTAGGCTTCAAACTCCATAAATTATTGAATGCTGCTGGCAAACGAATTGATCCTCCGATATCTGTACCGATACCTAATGGACTTCCATGAAGTCCAACTAGTGCACCTTCACCACCACTTGATCCACCACATGACAGTAATCGATTGTAAGGATTGAGTGTCCGTCCAATGATATTATTGATTGTTTCTCCAATCATCAAAGATTGTGGAACATTTGTCTTGACATAAATAATAGCACCTATTCATAATTAGATAGAATGGAATAGATTTAGCATTTATTCATTATTGTACATATTCTACTTAAAACTATATCAGACATCTTATTACTTTTATATTTGCTTTCTTTTTTTGTTTGATACCATGGAAAAATATTCAAAATTTTCTTTTAAAAATTTCATAGACAACATCGAATTATCTTAAACAGTTTTACATACCTGCTTTTCGTAAACATTCAGTTAATATACTTTCCTCTTCATCCACTGTTCCCAACCAACCGACATAACCAATACTAGATTCCAATCCTTTGACGCGAAATTGATCTTTGAGCGAAACAGGCACACCATGAAGTAATCCTACTGTTTGTCCATGTTGTTGAAAATATTCATCAAGTTCTTTTGCTTGTTCCAATGCGGCATCAAAACATATTTCAATAAGACAATTAACTAATTGATGAGCAATTGCTGCTCGGTGACAATATGCCTGGCAAACTTGGGTGGCTGTGTATTCACCTGAGGCAATCTTTCCAGCTAGTTGTTTGACAGTTAATTCGGTTATAGCCAATTCTTCGGCGGTCAATAAATTACTTTGTTCAATAAATGAAACAACAGATCGTTGGGATTCGGCCGGTAGCTGACCACTTGGAATATACCATTTCTCAGGAATAAGTGCGAACAAGGCTTTTCGTTTTTTATCCACAATTTCTTCCCAAACCATTGTCGCTTCAGTATTATATTAGTGAAGATTGCTTCAAACTAGAACTAAAGTAGTAAACACAATCAAAAAAAAGCTTGTTAGCGCAGTCCCTTTGAGGTTGAAATGTGGAACTCACATATGTTCTATAGCTTTCATTAAACTAGCACAAAATACGTAAAGTGAAAAATCTCTCGTAGAGTATAGTTGTTTTTGCAGGATAATCAATATTCAGAGTAATGACCTCTCTAATTTCGGCATTTCGAACACAATTTTTTCTACGAACCCCTACTTTGGGTTTGCATTATTGCTATTCGCTCATTATTTTTCATTTTTTTTAAATCATTTTTCTTCATTTAACATTCTTATTCTTATTCTTATTATCATAGCATTGCTTGATAAATAAGTCTGTTTTACATATTCATGATATCTACAGCAGATTTTACGCACTATTAAATATATTAATCATCTCACAAATAATGATATTCATTATTTTTCTAAATTATAACTTCATCAATTTTTCAAAAACATCTTTAGAAAACCTGATGCCTGTTATTCTCAATTGCTAAGGTCTGTAATAGGGCGGGGGAATATCTGTAATGGGAGATGTCTGCAACGGGAGCTTGCGTTGCTATGGTATTTAATGAAGAGGGCGTAGAGCTGCAAAATTTTGCCTTAAAACTTACACTCTATTTTCCTTCGTAAAATATGTGAGTTACACAAAAATGAATTCTTGATATGCTGTAACTTGCACTTCATTTTATCAAGATACTTATCTATTATGACGAAAAAGGCAACAATGTTTCATTTAACTTAATAAGAGCTAGTAGCGAAAAGATAGTATATCAGCATTCATAGCACATAATTGTTATAAGAATAAGCACGAGGAGTCTAATAGCAGTTTGACAATAAGGTACATTATACATAATAAAATGCTGAAAAAAAAGAACTCTCTAACCGCCACTCTATGATAATATAATCGTACGCTATACAAAGGTCAACGAATATCTTTTATACAGAGTGAGATTATACTAAAATGACACGTAAGATATGTAGCGAAAATGAAAGAGATACGATGATGTTCTCTTTCGTTACCAATGAAGCGTGTAGTTTATTGGGACCAATAATGACACACTGGAGGAGTCTTCGGTATATATATTCACTGCACTATTCCGTCACTCTAATAGTGTCTATTTCATATAGAATACAAGTTGATATAAAAGAAAGAGAATGAATGAGAAGAGTGTAGAGTCAGCTACTATCTTTCATGAGGTCAGAGCAAATAACCGAATGTTCGTACATCATCGAGCAGGTATAGGATGAAGAGATGGAGTGTCTTAATTATTAGTGCCGCAAGTCATAAACTTTTCAAGCTTGATGGATTAGAAATAAAGTACTTTGCGCAGTGCTTTTAATTGATTATTGTACATAATATATTGACGGAAAATCAAAATATTATACAGGTGATGCATGTACATAAATTTCTTTTCTTCTTTTGAATATAGCTGTCATTTGATGACTGTAACAACAAAAAAACACAAACACATTATTTATATATTAACAATATGCAATTAAATTGACTGTTCAATCATCAATAATAGTCACACTTCAAGTTAATTATTTTTGAGTAGCAATACTCGATTTTAACTCAAGACGTAGTTTTATGTTCAAGAGTCTTATTCAAAAAATTTCTTTTCCTAAGTATTTCTTTCACATACATATAATTCAATTAGTTTGTATGAGAGGGTCTTTTTTTAATAACAATTTCCTGTATTCATTTCATTCAATAGAAGAAACTTTTACATTAATGCAAAACATGCTATATAGAGTTCAATTCTCATTTCATCAGGAACTATATTTGAGACAGATAGTTACATTGGCAATAAAAAGAACTCATGAAGCATCGATTCTACCCGTTTTGATTGATCTTGAAGACCTGACCAAGAGCTTTCATTGGAATTAAGTTAGCGAACAACATTGTTCATTATTTTGTGAAACTTACTTATATTCTCGAAAAAAATAGTGAACGTAAATTTAAATCGAGGTTTTTACGGCTCTTTATTCCTCTAGACTGTAGCAACTAGAACAAGAACATTAATAATAAGTGTTGAAATAAATATTGTAGGTTTTGAAATTTGATGCAGACAAAAGATCTTATTCATTGATGTCAATCAGTAAGGTGATAGCCTTATTGATCTAACCGAGTCAGAATAGGATGGACATAAAAAAGTATGAACTAATTGAATTTTAAGTGTAGGCAAAACTCAACAATATATATTACAGTTGGTCGAGAGAAAGAAAGGATGGTGTGTTCGAAAGTTTATTGAAAGATTCAATCAATGTTTACAGTAGGTTTTATATAGTGGCTTAATCAACGAATCGAAAAATAAAATGATATTTGCCGTTTCCTATTGCATCTATCATATATATTATCATTAGGAGAAAAGAAATTATGTATTGAAGATGTATCTGACAATATAAATAAATTTTTTCACTAAAAATGTTGAATGAATCTAATAAATTGTTAAAATAGGAATTCTAGGTAAAAATATGTTCGAAATAATGAAATTTCAGAGCACGCATATCAACTATGAAAATTGTTATAGTTTTGATTTATTCATATATTGGGCATTTTTATTAAATAAATTATTCCAACCCTTCTAACAATATACCATAAATTTATAACCGTTAGAAATTGTGAGTTTCACACTTTGATTCCTCATGGAGTTCCATTGATAAGTTTTACATTATTTTGAACGAGTAACATAGGTTTCACGAACAATCACGGAAGTTTAAAAAAAATTTCAATAGCCGATAGATAACCTATTTAGAAGCTGTCTTAAAAAAATTCATTCATATCAAATGATACATCCAGATATAACATTAATAAAAGTATTTACATTTATGAAATAGGCTTGATCAATACTTTAATCCAACAAGTAATTTACGAACGCAATTTAATATTTTATTGTTCAGTTCAACCCGTACTGAAGAAATGCTTCAACAAAAAGTAAAACTTGTCTTTAAAAATTTTTTCTTTCTATGAATATACAGACATATTGCCACGTAAACAATAAACATGCCGAAATACGATTGCACACTAAGTTTATTGTCTTACGTCCAATAACTAACTGATGTTGCATGCAATATGTGTAATTCATCAACACACTCTATACAAATACATTAGATATAGATTGTAGCGCTATTTTATCATTCGTCAACATCATGAAAAGTTAGTTTAACAATTAAAATGTTCATTGGATATTATTATTTTTTTGTTATTGTCACTTATTCAGTTTCTTTCTGTATCTTTCCCGCCGACATAAGTTGTCTATTCATTTAAAAATTTCATTCTATGGCAATCGATTCTGAGAAACAAGTTTCATCATCAGATTCAACAATTGTTCGTATTGTTGATAATATAAAAAAAAGTGAATGTGACACATGGAATTATCGTGGCTTAGAACTTTCAAATGATATGCTTGTTGTACTCATAAGTCATCCAAATATTGATAAAGCTGCTGCTGCACTCGATGTTTCAATTGGTAGTTTAGCTGATTCACGAGATGTTCCTGGTATTGCACATTTTCTTGAACATATGTTATTTATGGGTAGTTCGAAGGTAGGTCGTTGTTTAGATTCATCAATATTTAGAAGTTTTTTTGTGAATTTGTCTGACTTTTTTTTTTGTTAGTATCCAGGTGAAAATGAATATGCAAAACTCATAGAAGGTAATGGTGGTTATTCAAATGCGTTTACCAGTGGTGATCATACAAATTATTATTTTGATATTAATCCAAGTTTATTACCAGATGCACTTGATATGTAAGTTGTATTATTTAGTTTTCCATTTTGGTTAATGGAATGAATCTATATTTTTTCTTTGATTTAGTTTTTCTCAATTTTTTATTTCGCCATTGTTTGCTGCATCATCTACTGATCGTGAATTAGAAGCAGTTAATTCTGAATATGAAGGGAATTTATTTAAAGATATATGGCGTATAGCTCAATTAGAAAAATCTACATCAGATCCAGAACATCCATATTCAGGATTTTCTATTGGCAATTCAGAATCATTAAGAACAACACCTAAACAACGTGGAATTAATATTCGAGAAGTACTTCTAGATTTTTATAAAGCTCAATATTCATCAAATCGAATGAGTTTAGCTGTTCTTGGCAATCGTATGTTATTAGACTTCTTTTCAAACAAATCCCATTGGATAAGATGATCATTCTTCATTTGAAAAATAAATTATATTGTGTTGTAGAGAAACTCATGGTGCATCAAATGGTATATAGGAAAATACATTTTCATGAAGTTTTAATGTTTTCAGAAGCGATTTGCGAGATAAGGAATATTCTAGCAATGGTGAGTAATATGACTGAAATATAATGACTCATGATATCTTCAAACGAACCTATATATAAAATTTTGTTTAAAATTAATTCAATAGAATTTCGTTTAGTCTTCAATGATGTCGATCTAATAATACTCGCACCAAAGCTTTCTGTGTCCCAAAATCCTTAACATTTTTACTATTTTCTGTAATTTGTTTTGGTTTTTATAATATTTTTATTGCTTCGATACTAACCCTGAAGGCAAAGGTAACCAACCATGAAAGCATGGCAGAAATTGTTGAATACCGAGAAAACTATTTTGAGAGTTCTTAAATGTATAAGATTGAAAATCAGAGAAAACTATTGAATTACTTTTAAACAGAATTTTATATAGATTAGTTTGGAGACATACTGAGTCATAATATTTCAGTCATATTATTCACCATTGCTATAATATCCTGTAAGTAGTATACGGCTTCTCAGAACACTAAAATTTGATGAAGATGCAATTTCTTATGTACCGTTTGATACGCTATGAGTTGCTTTATAAAACGGTATAAGTGAATTTTCGATTCAAGAGTAATCATCCTATCTGACCGAACCTTTTTTAAATAAAAATTTTTTTTTTTCTGTAGAATCACTTGATGAACTTCAATCGCTTGTTATTAAAAGTTTTAAAGATG